GATACGTCCGTATTTTCACGGACGCCTTCGGCCAGTCCGTGAAAATATTGCCTGACATATAGCGGTCCGTGGTGCAAAAAAGGTTGGGGACCGCTGAGTTAAATAACATGCTGCTATAGCTTTTGCATCATTATCTCTCTGTTGTTGCTGCTATTTTTACATATTCACTACTTTCAAAATGCCCACAGCTGTATATTGAATATTTATTCTCCAGATGCACAGTAGTTAAATTGTAAAAACGCTGTACACTACAGTATTTTATTCGTTTATATTTTTCTACTGTGTCATTCTGTTATTTTTATACAGTTTTTAAGGTCCACATTTGTGTGACCCGTTTTGCTAAATATATTTTTTTGCTGCTTTAACGCCCCCATTTCCTGGTAGTGGAACAATAAAGGGATTTTCTATTCTATTCCAGGGCTGGATGTTAACCATTGCCCGATCTCCCGGGGCAAGTCGTTTTTATTGTTGGGAGAGTACAAATTTCGCAAAAAAAAAAAAAATATATTACTCAAAATTACTTTAAAATCACCAACATTCGATGAAAACAACCCAGAAGCGTTGCTGGCGCCATTTTTGTTGTTTTGTACACATTCTCGCATGATTTGAAAAAGACGGGTGATTTTTGTCCACTTAGCGGTGATTTTGATGTAGTTACCAAAACGACAAACAAGCTAGAAAGTGCTATCATATGGCAGTCTTCTGTTCATTAAATTTTTTTCTCTTAGACATTGGAGAGGTGCATTTAAATGTTATAGAGCTAAACATGTTAGATTGGTGACCTGTTATGTTCTTATTGTCTTGTTGCTGCATTTATTTTGTCAGGGAAAACTAATCCTGTCACTTCCTTAAAAGTCAGGGAATTCTGAAATCTGAAATGATGTCAGACTGTGGAAACCCTGAATAAAATAACTATGTATAATGATTCTCTAGAAAAGTCACATTATATTAATAGTATTATCTTGTATAAACATACCGTGACTCTGAAATATCTGTCTTGTGAAGTTTTTAACCT